CATGATGAGGGTCCATACCTTTGCCACGTCCTCTGGCGGCTCACGGAATTGAAGGGACTCGACCGCATCCTCCGCACGCAACCCCGCCAAACCCTGAGCCACGTCTTGGGCGAGGCCTTGCTCACGCAACTGCTCCAAAACCAAGTTGAAGACCTGTGCCTTAAAAGGGACAGGCCTGTCACTCTGTCCAGACCCAACCGACCCTCCCTCGCCACGTGACTTGCTCGCACCCTCCTTCCACACGGACAAGGCCTCCTCCACCCGCGTACGAAACGGCCCTTGCACGAAAAGAACCCACTGCCGCTGCACCTTGTCCTTTCCCACTCCTTTAGCTGTGGCATTCGCCAAGCATTGTACATTGCGGAGTTGATCTTCCAAAACATCAACTCGGCTAGCTACGGACTTTTTGTCCTGACCTCCAGCCATCCTGACAACGTTTGAGAGGAAAAGCAGCACTAAAGATGGACGCGTTTGAGGTGGTACTTAAAGCGGTGCACACTGTAGAAGGTCTCACTAGATTGCTGATCCTGTAAGCAGAGCATGCATTGTGCAGGAAAGTTTTTTTCCTCGATCTTATGATCCGCCGCAATGTGTAACCTCAAGCTAGGCGCTCCAGGCCAGTAGCCTCGACAAAACGGGCACTTAAAGGGGTCAGCCAACGTGTGATCATAGTTAACATGCCTTGTTAACCACATCTCTCGCTCGAATGATCGCGGGCAAAGTTTACAGTCAAACCCCGCTTGCCGATACGTACCAACCTTGTGTGAAATGAGCTTATGATGCGATAATCCTCCCTTGGTGGTGTACCTCTTTCCACACCCCGGAAAATCACACTGGTATGCACCATCCCCCACATTCCTTGTTCTGTCCACATTGCGAAGATTCCAGTACTTTGTTCGGACCCGCGGTGGAGCAGTGCCGTCCAAGATTGCTTGGGCATCAAGCTGTTTCTTAACATACCATGCCGGTGGTCGTCTTTTCCTTGAAACCCTGCGCGGAGTGATGCCAGTGCTTCTAACAGCCGTAGAGTCCGGAAGTTCCTGAGACTCAGCCTGGGCAGTAAGAACAACTGTGGAAACCAAGAGCCTGAACATAGCCAGGTCACCTTCCGTTTGTGCCGCCGGAAACAGTGACTCCGCTCAGTCACAGCAAAGCTCCTCCATCGTTAATTCCGGATTATCATTTACAAACTTGAGAGCCTCCGCTGAGATAACGCTGACGAAAGCCTCCCTCCCCCCAGCTTCCACTTCTGCCTTGATGAACGCACACGATGGTACCATTTCATTAAGAATCCTGTCGGACGCCTGAATAAGCCGCTGCGCATGACCCACCCGCTTTCTGATCCTTAGAACATGTCCCGCGGGCAAGACATTTCGTGGCGGGGGAGAAACATTAGGAACCACCGCTAATGGCTTATGCCATATAGCAACACTCATAGTTTTACTTTTCCACAGCGCCGCACCTTCCCCACTATTGGCAAACTGCAGCCACCCTTGTCTATCAATGCCAGCCGCAGTCAAATCCTTTGCAAAAGAATCGCGAAGACGCTTCCCGGACTGTAATCCTGGCTTCCTCGCCTGTCCCGCATCCGTTGGTAGAACGCCAAAAAGAACGCGCTTCGGAATTCTATGATCCGGCATCCTCCCAACATGCCCTAACCACCTCAGCCGACATTGACATACCAAATCCGCAATTGATGGAACCCCAAGCCAAGCGCGCAAATCTTCATTGGAGAGCGAGTGATCCCGCTGGTAACGTAGTTCATAGCCGGATACCCGACGCAAACAAATCATGTGAAACTTTTCGAGTTTTTTCCGAACTGGGTACGTATGCGTCCAAACTTCAGCACCATACAAAAGGACAGACAATACACACGCCCGGTATACGCTGACTTTGGTACTCAGAGATAGTTGCTGAACATTCCACACCGAGCTGCTAAGTGCCCAAAACGCCTTCCGCGCTTTTTCCAGCCGTTCTTTTACCGCAAAATCACCCGACCCAGATCTTTGTATAATAACACCCAGGTACTCAAAAACTCTGAGAATTTTATGCTGTCGAAACCATCGAACTCCGCCACCGGGATAGGCTCATGCACGCCTGACTGTGTCGTTAACGCCTCAGTCTTTTCGACCGACAGTTCAAGACCCCATTCCCTCAAATGCAACTGAAAACCCTTAGCTTTGGAATGCAAACTGGATAACGTGTCAGCGATTAAAGCCGCGTCATCAGCATACCCTAGCTCTTGAAGATCCAGTGTGTCCCAGGAAGCATATTTATCATGAGCTTCTCTATGCAGCAAAGCCCCATCAATTCGCGTAAGCCATTGCACCCCACCACCAGACTCACCGACCCAAGCCTCCATAACGGCAGACAAGAAGATATTAAAAAGCAGAGGAGCCAAGCAACATCCCTGACCCACGCCGGTTTCCAACTCGAATTCCTCCGACAACCCTCCTTCAACACTGATCATCGCTGTTTTGCCTGAGTAGTAAGTCCGAATCAATTCAATGAGCTTGGGAGGAACCCCTTTCTTGCGTAGCACAGCCCACACTCCAGCACGAGACACGCTATCATAGGCCTTGACCAGATCCACAAACAAAACATGAAATGGGTGCTTCTTGTAATCCGCGATTTCCATGGCAAGCTTCAAAGCAAAAATCATATCGATAGTTCCACGCCCAGGTCGGAAACCGCACTGCGTCTCCGGCAGTAGACCATTTGTTTCCGCATACTGAGCAAGTCGCGCATTAATTACCCTCGCGAAAACTTTTCCTGGGATTGACGCCAGTAATATCCCTCGCCAACGTTTACACTGCGTCAAATCACCCTTCTTTGGCAATGGAACAAGAAACGCCTCCTTCCATTCCTTTGGCATAACCTCGACGCCCGTCCAGACCCGTACAAAAAACTCGTGTAATGCTCTTAAATTAATCGGATCCAAAGCACAAAGTACCTCCGCCTCAATTCCATCAGGTCCTGCAGCCTTACCCGCCTTGAGTCTCCCAACTGCCGCTAAAGTTTCTGCAAAGGTAGGAACCGCATCCAGGCTGGGCTCCGGAACAAGACTCGCAATTTTATCCATCTGATGTAGCTTGACGTTGGAAGGTACATTTAACAGTTCTTTAAAGTACTCCCGCCAACGATTGATCCTGCCCGATCTCGTGAGTATAAGATTGCCCTTCGCGTCACGAAGTTTGCCTGTACTCTTTTGTCCCGACGCCAACACACGACGTAGCTCTTTATACCCGGCGAACTGATAGTTATGATCCTTGGAATCCACCCGGTCCTGAATTTCCTTTGCTTTCTCAGTCCACCATTCGTTTATAAACCGCCGAACCTGGTTTTTAACCTCTTTACATTTTTGCTTATACTCCTTGGAAAGAAAGCCTTCCGGCGACCGCAACGCTACCTGCCTCTTCTCCTGGCTAAGCCTAGTGAGTTCGTCCGCATAAGCCAGTTTCCATTCAGGTTCGCCCAGTTTAGGTACCGCACCAAGACATCGCTCGGACACTTTTCGAACCGCTCGTCCAAACAGGGAGTACCCTTCATCAAAGAAACCCTCACTCATCAAGGAGTGTAACTGTGTATTAAGATCATCCGTGACTTGTGGGTCCTTGAGCCCTCCGACTAGCAACCTAGGTAGCCGACCTCCATTGCCCAAACTGCCAGCAGACGCGCCATAAAATTTCCGTAATGTAGACTTAGGCGGTATGGCCATTTGCACTCGTAAGAATCTGTGATCAGTATTATGTATATATCCTGGCATCGCTCGCACATCAGTAATGAGTCCCATGGTTTGCCTGGAGCAAAGCACATGGTCCAGTTGAAACCATCGCCTAGACGATTGATGAAACCAAGTCCCATATTCGCTATGTTGAAAAAAGGTGCCGGCAACTCGCAGCTGTAATCTACTTTTACTAGCGCAAAAATCCAACAGGCGCACGCCGTTATCATTGCGCTCAGGCAATCCATGCCTGCCCACCATTTCATGAACCGTTGGAGTGTCATCAGTGGCATCAGTATTTGCCAAACCAACACGCGCGTTGAAGTCACCTAAAATGACCACCTCATCTTTATGCGGCACAGCGTCCAGTAGTCTACCAAGTTCTTCATAAAAAGTTTCTTTTTCTTCATCTGGACATCGAAACGTAGGCGCGTAACAAGAAAGAATGCTGAAAAAACGCCCTTTAATTCGCAACCGAATGCGCATTAACCGTCCGCCACAGTATTCACATAACTGGTCCGCTTCTTTCCACGCTTTCTGCATATCCCGATTCAATAGTATCCCAACTCCCTGCATAGCCTTTGCAGCGCCCGCATCGATACCCGAATATAGAAACACCCAATCATCGTCCACAGTAATTTGTCCTTCACCCCTCCATCTATGCTCAGATATCGCACAGAGACTAATATTATGTGTCTTCAGTTCCGCGCATAAACTGTCAATTTTAGTTGGATCCTTCCCCATAGTAGTAACCTCTCCGGAGTTTGCAACATGCAAATAAGAGTGTAGCGTCTGAACGTTCCAACATCCCCAATTGAGCTTCGGCCCCCTCCGCCACCTTCGCCCCTGCTGTCTCCGCCCCTGTCCGGGCGTCACAGTTGGATGGGAGAGCTCCGGTGGCTGTGCTCGAGTGTTCGTAACCCGTGCGGTAGCTAGAAGTAAATGCAAACGGGAAGCCAACCCGAGTGCATTGTTGGCCAGAAGCCTAGCATGGATTGTCCCCCGAAGGAGACCCTGTTTCCATGTTCAGCATCCTGACCCTACTACCGTTAGCCTCCTGCCTACTCAGCCTGTCGCACTAACAAAAGCGAAACAACAAACCAAGAAACTGCCCACGTCACAATACTAATTGCAGGAGTTGCCACCCCCCCACCGCGTTGAGGTGGTAGTACGGGGGGGTCATCGCAAAGTTTCGACCATGCATACACACAGAAACACAACAGACTACTACATCTCATGTCATCTCTTGATTTCTGCTGGTATGTTGATACCCCACCTGAAAGAACATGCCGATGATGGCCATCATCGCAAGCCTTCCGTTAGCCAACTCCGCCGAAAGTTTTTTGGTCTTCTCAGCTGGGTCACTGGAGGTCAAGACCTTGAAGCCGAAGTCGCCCGCTGCGGCTGGGGTGCCGGGAGACTGATCCTGGGAAACCTCGCAGAAGGCCATGTACGCGAGGATCTGTCCCCAGCCTGCGGCAGGCACCTTGGAGATCGCAGCCAATCCGTTGGGCACGTCTGCGAACTTCAATCCTGCTGATGGAGACAGATAACCAGGGAACTTGCCAGTGATCCTTACCGCGCTGACGCGAAAAAAAGAAATGCTATCCTTACAACGAGCAGAGCAAACTTTGACAATACGAAACATGTCTTCAAACATCTGCCTTAACCAACACCGCACATGCTATCGAAAAAAACCTTTTGCAATAAAGTCGCTCTGGAGTGATGTATCCCATCGTCGCAAGCATGGAGATGCGCCCATGCTTCAATTCGGTCTGGCGCCGGCGCTTGAAGTTCTCCACGCTGCCATCGGCGGTGAAACCTGCGGGGTCCCAGAATCCGACGGGATCCTGCACGCCGAGCTCGTTCTCGAAGGCACGCAAAGGCGATGCAGTGTAGTTGGCCCAGTCACCCCAGGCGCTTCCGGTCAGACCATCCTGCCATACGAAACAATGCAGAGTCGAACCAACACCCTGCTAACAAAACTAACTTACAATTTGATCGAAACATCACACAACACAGTTTCGACCATGCATACACACACAAACACAACAGACTACTACATCTCATGTCATCTCTTGATTTCTGCTGGTATGTTGATACCCCACCTGAAAGAACATGCCGATGATGGCCATCATCGCAAGCCTTCCGTTAGCCAACTCCGCCGAAAGTTTTTTGGTCTTCTCGGCTGGGTCACTGGAGGTCAAGACCTTGAAGCCGAAGTCGCCCGCTGCGGCTGGGGTGCCGGGAGACTGATCCTGGGAAACCTCGCAGAAGGCCATGTACGCGAGGATCTGTCCCCAGCCTGCGGCAGGCACCTTGGAGATCGCAGCCAATCCGTTGGGCACGTCTGCGAACTTCAATCCTGCTGATGGAGACAGATAACCAGGGAACTTGCCAGTGATCCTTACCGCGCTGACGCGAAAAAAATCAATGCTATCCTTACAACGAGCAGAGCAAACTTTGACAATACGAAACATGTCTTCAAACATCTGCCTTAACCAACACCGCACATGCTATCGAAAAAAACCTTTTGCAATAAAGTCGCTCTGGAGTGATGTATCCCATCGTCGCAAGCATGGAGATGCGCCCATGCTTCAATTCGGTCTGGCGCCGGCGCTTGAAGTTCTCCACGCTGCCATCGGCGGTGAAACCTGCGGGGTCCCAGAATCCGACGGGATCCTGCACGCCGAGCTCGTTCTCGAAGGCACGCAAAGGCGATGCAGTGTAGTTGGCCCAGTCACCCCAGGCGCTTCCGGTCAGACCATCCTGCCATACGAAACAATGCAGAGTCGAACCAACACCCTGCTAACAAAACTAACTTACAATTTGATCGAAACATCACACAACACAGTTTCGACCATGCATACACACAGAAACACAACAGACTACTACATCTCATATCATCTCTTGATTTCTGCTGGTATGTTGATACCCCACCTGAAAGAACATGCCGATGATGGCCATCATCGCAAGCCTTCCGTTAGCCAACTCCGCCGAAAGTTTTTTGGTCTTCTCAGCTGGGTCACTGGAGGTCAAGACCTTGAAGCCGAAGTCGCCCGCTGCGGCTGGGGTGCCGGGAGACTGATCCTGGGAAACCTCGCAGAAGGCCATGTACGCGAGGATCTGTCCCCAGCCTGCGGCAGGCACCTTGGAGATCGCAGCCAATCCGTTGGGCACGTCTGCGAACTTCAATCCTGCTGATGGAGACAGATAACCAGGGAACTTGCCAGTGATCCTTACCGCGCTGACGCGAAAAAAAGAAATGCTATCCTTACAACGAGCAGAGCAAACTTTGACAATACGAAACATGTCTTCAAACATCTGCCTTAACCAACACCGCACATGCTATCGAAAAAAACCTTTTGCAATAAAGTCGCTCTGGAGTGATGTATCCCATCGTCGCAAGCATGGAGATGCGCCCATGCTTCAATTCGGTCTGGCGCCGGCGCTTGAAGTTCTCCACGCTGCCATCGGCGGTGAAACCTGCGGGGTCCCAGAATCCGACGGGATCCTGCACGCCGAGCTCGTTCTCGAAGGCACGCAAAGGCGATGCAGTGTAGTTGGCCCAGTCACCCCAGGCGCTTCCGGTCAGACCATCCTGCCATACGAAACAATGCAGAGTCGAACCAACACCCTGCTAACAAAACTAACTTACAATTTGATCGAAACATCACACAACACAGTTTCGACCATGCATACACACACAAACACAACAGACTACTGCATCTCATATCATCTCTTGATTTCTGCTGGTATGTTGATACCCCACCTGAAAGAACATGCCGATGATGGCCATCATCGCAAGCCTTCCGTTAGCCAACTCCGCCGAAAGTTTTTTGGTCTTCTCAGCTGGGTCACTGGAGGTCAAGACCTTGAAGCCGAAGTCGCCCGCTGCGGCTGGGGTGCCGGGAGACTGATCCTGGGAAACCTCGCAGAAGGCCATGTACGCGAGGATCTGTCCCCAGCCTGCGGCAGGCACCTTGGAGATCGCAGCCAATCCGTTGGGCACGTCTGCGAACTTCAATCCTGCTGATGGAGACAGATAACCAGGGAACTTGCCAGTGATCCTTACCGCGCTGACGCGAAAAAAAAATGCTATCCTTACAACGAGCAGAGCAAACTTTGACAATACGAAACATGTCTTCAAACATCTGCCTTAACCAACACCGCACATGCTATCGAAAAAAACCTTTTGCAATAAAGTCGCTCTGGAGTGATGTATCCCATCGTCGCAAGCATGGAGATGCGCCCATGCTTCAATTCGGTCTGGCGCCGGCGCTTGAAGTTCTCCACGCTGCCATCGGCGGTGAAACCTGCGGGGTCCCAGAATCCGACGGGATCCTGCACGCCGAGCTCGTTCTCGAAGGCACGCAAAGGCGATGCAGTGTAGTTGGCCCAGTCACCCCAGGCGCTTCCGGTCAGACCATCCTGCCATACGAAACAATGCAGAGTCGAACCAACACCCTGCTAACAAAACTAACTTACAATTTGATCGAAACATCACACAACACAGTTTCGACCATGCATACACACAGAAACACAACAGACTACTGCATCTCATATCATCTCTTGATTTCTGCTGGTATGTTGATACCCCACCTGAAAGAACATGCCGATGATGGCCATCATCGCAAGCCTTCCGTTAGCCAACTCCGCCGAAAGTTTTTTGGTCTTCTCAGCTGGGTCACTGGAGGTCAAGACCTTGAAGCCGAAGTCGCCCGCTGCGGCTGGGGTGCCGGGAGACTGATCCTGGGAAACCTCGCAGAAGGCCATGTACGCGAGGATCTGTCCCCAGCCTGCGGCAGGCACCTTGGAGATCGCAGCCAATCCGTTGGGCACGTCTGCGAACTTCAATCCTGCTGATGGAGACAGATAACCAGGGAACTTGCCAGTGATCCTTACCGTGCTGACGCGAAAACAAGAAATGCTAGCCTTACAACGAGCAGAGCAAACTTTGACAATACGAAACATGTCTTCAAACATCTGCCTTCATCAACACCGCACATGCTATCGAAAAAAACCTTTTGCAATAAAGTCGCTCTGGAGTGATGTATCCCATCGTCGCAAGCATGGAGATGCGCCCATGCTTCAATTCGGTCTGGCGCCGGCGCTTGAAGTTCTCCACGCTGCCATCGGCGGTGAAACCTGCGGGGTCCCAGAATCCGACGGGATCCTGCACGCCGAGCTCGTTCTCAAAGGCGCTGACGACCACCTTCTCGCAAGCGTAGGCTTCTGTTATGGGGTCTGGAGTGGAGTGGCCCAAGCACTGTTGAAACTGTTCGACAGGCGACCAACGCTGAACGCTGTCAGATGACGTGATGATGTGACTGTCTAACCGAAGGCAAACTCCGAACTTCCACCCGGCGATCTTCCCCCGAACACCCTGGGCCCTCGGCACCCACCTGGGACTTTCGGCCGTAGCTGGCCTGGTCAACTTCGGTCTTCTGAGTCGGCACAGACTACCGGATTCACCCCCTGCTCGTCTGGCCAAATCACTTCAGCTGTCGCAATGATTTCGTCAAAAAGTTCGGGCTTAGTGGCTGTCGCCACCTGATCCTAGCCAATCCCAACCCACCCCCCCACCGTCGCAGTCAGTTGTCTCTGCCCGCCATGTGTCCCTTGCACTTCTCCAAAAAGCTACAACTGTAAAACTGCCAGAAACTTCCGCACAAATCGCCAGCCCCGCATCCAACTTTGAATATGCAATGCACACTTCGCCGACAATTGCGGGATCACCGGATTTACCCTTAGGACAAAGCCTGAGCTGGAAACTAGGATCCTTGGAATCCTCGACGAGACCCTTCACTCACCACTTTCCTCAGCAACCCCCAACTTGACATGTCGTCACGACCTCGCTCCGCTTGCCACGGAGCTGCGCCGCTAGAAGCGCCTCCAGCCCCAATCCACCGGGATCTGAGGGGGTTGGGTCTGCGAAACCGTTGCCTCAAGTACATCGTGCACCTTGTGCACTTGACAAAGCGTCTCTTCAGCGTGTTTGAACACGGACAAGCCGGGGATCCTACGTCTGGATCGAGGTCGGAATGGCGACACAAGTGACTTGGGCTCTTTGCTGATTTGATCCCGCACCAAAGAGAGCTACAGCAAGCGCCCAAGTGAAGTTCGGAATAGTGAGCCTAAACAGCTGGACAGACTCTGTCCCGATCCAGGCAACATGAGAAGCGCCAAGTGGCTGATGCCGATGCAGCAGCTGTGCAGCCAAGAAAGCTTGGGGCACTGCTGCCTGATCGAGCCCGCACAGACTGCTTCTGACTGCAGTACACTTCGTGCTTGTGACACATG